ATTGTTGTTCAGGAAACAACTCAACGGATTTTGGCAGCTAGAAGGATGAAAACCTTGAGTAAACTAAAAGATCGAACATCTGGTGTGTATTAACCATTTTGTAGGTAACCTAAAGCTCTACTTATAATTTACTTGTACATAACTTTTAGATGCAAAATCAACGGAGAGTGCCTGTCATCTTGTGACTTCTACTTTACGTGATAGTAACGACGGAAATATCCCTTTTTCCTTGGTGTACGTCGTTTCTAATCACAATGAAAGTTGTGAAAAGGCGATCCTAATGTCCACAACTTTCGATGAAGGTCTCGAATCGGCGAATGACGATCATGGTGAAATTAGTGAATTAGTTTTTGTTAAAGGAAAGTCAACAAGAAAATTACCAAATTTCTTGCTAGACACCTCTGAGGTGATAAATATTGTAGATGGTGAAAATAATGTAGACCATGAGACATCCAATCATCAAACATTGTCTACCTCGATGACTGATGCGAATGACTTTAACACATCTTCGTGGCCAATAACGCAAGTGCCAAAATCAAATACGCATTCAATAGTTACATTAAAAAATGGCACTCGGGCAATCCTCTTTCCGGTTTACACATCTTCCATGGGAAAGATGTTATTTACTGCCATAATTATTTTTGGCCTGAATCAACGACGCGCATTCGATCAAGAGCACTTGTCATTCTTACAGGTTTGCCTACGAGTCTCAGTGCATTGCCTACATCGATGATTTATGAGATGTATTGAATCCTTTTGCTTTTTCTACATCAAGCTTGTTGTTTGTCACGTGAGTCGAAGCTTAACACACGGTCGATCACGCGAAGAGGAGAGAAAACAAGTCGAAGCTTTAAAGGATTTAAATAATGAAAAGATAACGTTTTTCCGAAACATAAATCATAAATTAAGAAGTGAGCGTTATGAAATCACAAGTTTTACACCCTGCTTAATCTTTTCACGCATTACTAAGTTGAGATATTTGGTTAAAACCATAGCGCCGTTGACACTTATACTTTCACCGCTTGAAGAAATAATTAACAACGTCTCTCTGGACCCGTCGATCCTTTCCAATCTACGAATGGTCAATCGCAATGCTTGCCGGCTGCTTGAATTTGTGAATAACTTGCAACAGGTTGATGTTTGTCAAAAATACAATTCTCGTCAATGGAACGGTCTTACTTATACTGTTCTGTTTCTTTTCTTTGAATTAAAATTCTAGTTTTCGCAAATAGACACGAGCACGCTAGGATCCAAATTCAAGGAGATTGATGTCGTAAAATGTACCCTCGAGTTAACCTCAAATTTCGAAAGCGTAGCAAAATTGTTAAAACTCGATTATTCCATCCAAGTACCAAGCCACGAGGAACTTTACAGCAAATTGAAGAGTAAAGTATTTCTAGACAAGGAAATGTATGAAAAGATTTTACTCAATTTACGTGAGTAATACTAATTTCGAATCTACATGATTCATGATAAAGACGCGTTAATCTACCATTATTATTTCAGTTTCGAACGCGTTCAACCACACTTGGATTGGCGGTGTTACAGTTCGTTTGTATCCAGGCCATCATGACGGAAGGGAAATGGTGGTAATAGAAATCTCAGACACAGGTATTAATTATAACAACCTTGGTACTACGCTTATGAGTCACGTTTAATTAATTGCAACAATCACTCGTAAAGGTAGCGGAATTCCGAAAGAGGACATTCCAAAATTATTCCAGCGTTTTCATCGTGTCACACCGTGCCAATCACATAATTACAAGGGTACCGAAATGGGTCTTACGCTTGTAAAAGAGCTAGTAGAAAGGCATCATGGCGAAATTTCTGTATACTCGGAGCTGGATAAGGGAACCACTTTTCGTATATTATTCCCAACTGGTCTGAAACATTTGGAGCATTCATCCCGAAAAAAAACTCATATTACAAATGACAAACACACATTTGAAATGGATCACTTGGACGAACAAACAGAATTGAATCATTTAGACTCTTTGACGCAAGATAATCAAAGAAACACTGACGCTCAACGCATATCCTTGTGCTCTCAATGTGAGGCTCTACCTCTTGCTGATAAAATTCACCATCGTGTTCTCATTATTGATGATGATACCGACATGAGGTATGATTTTTAATCTTTCTTATACCTCCTAACCAAAATATACCTTATTTAATTGTCTATTTGTGCAATTAAAGGAATCGTCTCTTTGGACTATTGAACAAAGAGTTTGAATTACACACTGCTTGTGATGGTCGCGATGCTTTAGAGGTACTGAGGAAGCTTCCTGAACCACCTGATTTGATTTTATGTGGTAAGGGAAATCTTTATGTGTATGAGCTAACTTGATCGCATGATAGATTCATGGTATGCACTTCTTCTATCATCTTCAATAGACATAAACACACCAAACATGAACGGTTTGAACGCGCTTAGATCCGATCCGGAGAATCAGTTTATTCCAGTGATTTGGCTATCCACAAAAATGGGCAAGAACGCTAGCATAGAAGGTGAATAATTTAATCATTTTCTTTTTATTCGATTTTTGTGTCATTCTCAGATGTTTCTCTTTTTGTGTTAGAAAAAGAACCGGATGATTATTTGATAAAACCGTTTTGTGCTAGGGAGTTGATTGTTCGAGTCAGAGCCAACATTAAGCTCTCGTGTATTCGTCGGCAATTATTATTGCAGCAAAAATGGCAACTAGAAACCAAAGATCTACTATTTTCTATAAATCAAAAAATTCGTTCTGGATTTAATGTAAAAGAAACGTTAGCCTCCGTTGTTGGACAAATTCAAAAGATATTACCCAGCGAACGAGTATTAATTATTAACACTAACTCCGAGAATTGCAAGGAGTTTCATCTTATCGCTTTGGCGTCCATCTATCCAAATGAACACGAGCATGTGGGAAAACCACTAGATCATATAATTTCGGATGATGACAGAGAGCCTTCGGGCGCTTCATATGAGCCAATTTCGGAGACGTTTCGGATCCTTCAATGTAGACCTAACTTGGTTGTGAGGGAAAATATATACTCGAGATTAATTAAAGACTATGTTTCCATGATTTTCATGCCAATCAGAACGAACTCATCAACCTGGGGATGGTTGTTTGCTTATAGACCAGTAAATAGTATTTGGCTAGATTCGGAAAAAGAGTTTGTCGAACAAATTTCAAATCAAATTGGTCTGGCAATTACACACGCAATACTTATGGAAGAAAAATTGAAAAAAGAGGCCCAAATGGAAGCTGCAAGAGCTGCTAATGAAGCCAAAGGACAAATCTTGGCTAACACCTCTCACGGTAGGTGTTTATG